GTCTGAAGGAGCAGCTAGCTCTGTTGCACAGCTCTTCAGAATTGATTCGTGAACTGAATTGTCTAGATTCCGGCATCTCGGATGGTCAAAACCTTAATAGAAGGCTAGGCAGGGCCATCCACCACAGTACCAAATGCTTGAAAATGCTCCAGCCTTTCTCTTACATACTGCAGAGTGATTACGCTATCATAGATGTTAGATTTTTTGTGTTTTACCCTGATTTGGTCATAAACTGCTGCAAATTAAACTTTTGATTTTAGCCAGTAACTCCCAAGATGGTAATATCTATAAAGCATCAGAAGGATATACCTCAATGGTATGAGTAATGTTTTCTCATCATTGACCATCAGTTATTTATTTGAATGTACGTTGTGTGTAAGATGATGAATGAGCTGCATTATCATGTTCATTTTCTGTTACAGCTGATGGCTATAAAAAACAAGAAGTGTGCAAGAATAGTTCTACTGTACTTTGATTCTAATTGAAGTTTTCACTAACAGGGTGTAAACTCCAGGAATCCAAGTCGTCCGCCTCCCAGTTCTGTAAACACAGGTGGAATTACTGAAATTATGGCTGAGGGTGGAGAGTTGGAATTTGTAAAAAGAATTATCCATGATAGCCTGCAGCTGAAAAAAAGACTAAGGCAAGTCATCCTTTTCAATTACTGTTTTACTGGGGAATTCCGACCCTTGTACATAAATTGTGTTAAGCATTTTTTATTTTATTCTTGCTGAACAACATTTTTGGCTACCCTTAATTTTCCTTGAGAAGGTGCTGGAAAGTTGTCGTCTTGATTGGCTGTGGTTTATGTGGTGTACTTAACTGCAGCTGGGTGGGATTTCCAAATTTTGACCCAATGATAATGAAGGAATGGCAATGTAGTTTCAAGTCAAGTGGTGTGTGACTTGGAAAACAGATGACGGTGTTCCCATGCATATGCTACCTTTGCTCTTCTGAGTGGTAGAGGTCCCAGGTTGAAAGCTGCTGTCAAGAGAACCTTTATGAGTTGCTGCAGTGCATCTTGCAAATGGTACATACTGCAGCCACTGAGCATTAATGGAAGAGGAAATGAATGTGTAAGGAGTGCCTATCTACTGCTTTGTCCTAGATGTTGTCAAGCATCTCGGGTGTCATTGGAGCTGCAGTCATCAAGGCAAGGGATAAACTGTCCTGACTTGAGCCTAGTAGAATGTGGACATACTTTCAAGTCAGGAAGTGGGTTGCTCACCTTCGTTTTCACAGCCTCTGATCTGCTCTTGCAGTCACCATGTTTATGTAGTTTGTCCACCTCACTTTCTAGTCAATGATATCTCTCAGGATATTGATAGTGGGGCATTCAGTGATGGTGATATTGTTGAATGCTTTTTCAAAATGGTTGTATTGTCTCTTGTTTGAGCTGGTCATTGCCTGTCACTTTTATAGCACAAATATTACTAGACACATGTCAGCCCAAGCTTGGATGTTGTTCATGTCTTGTTGCAAATGGACACAACTGCTTCAATCTTTTGTAAATTTGAAGCTATTATTATAATGGTTTTACCCATAAGCTCACAGACCAGTGTTGCTAACAATTGCGTTTGTTTTCATTTTCTTTTGTTAATCTGACTGCAGTGGAATTTTCTAAATCATTTTGTTCATGACTGTAAAGTTGACACCAGTCATTTATAAGGAAATAACTTCTTCCGTATTTCATTATTTAGTACCTTTCCCTTTTATCTTTTGATGAACGCTAATGAGAAGATTATGATCTGTGACACATGCTCCCTAAAATAAAATATTAAAATTGTAATACATCAAAAATAATTTTCCTCAATCACCTGATGTGCACTTGTTCAGCTTAGAAATCAATGCAAAATATTGTTCAGTTTCTTTATGATTGGACAATGGTTTTTTTTACCCTTGTGAAAGACTTAAATCTGCAAAATTCTGGCAATCTCTAATAAAACTGGGGACTGCAGAAAATGCACAATTCTAACAGAGGCTGTCATCTGAAAAGAGAACCTTTCCTCTCTATTTTCAAATGCTAATTGGATTGGTGTATATTGAAAGCATGATATGGTTTTATGTTATGTTTAATACTTTTCATATCTAGATGTGTCCTAAGTGACAGAAATTTGAAACAATCGTTAAAAGAAATTCAAAAACTTGCCTGATAATTGCTTTGGCTCCAATTGTTCAAGAATTTGGGTCAAATGAACTGTGTTTCATGCTCAAAAATTATGTCATGCTAATCCATCGTACAATAATCTAACTGCTCGTTAATCTATCACAGAATTGTTATGGAACAAGAGGCCATTCGGGCCATCATGCCTGCATTTACTCTCTCAATAATTTAATCAATCAATCTCCTATTTTTTCCCCAGTAAATCTGCACATTGTTTCTATTTAAATAATTTGCCACCTCCACATTCCAGGCAGTTCATTTCAGATCTGAACTACTTACTGTGTGAGAAGGGTTTTTTTCCTTGCCTCACATTTGCTTCTTCTACAAAAGAATTGAAAACAAGTGGAAATAGTTTCTCCTTATCTACTCTGTCCAGACCCTCTTGATTTTGAAAACTTCTATCAGATCTTCTTGTAGCCTTCTCCTGTCCAAGAAAAATCATTACAACTTCTCCAGCCTTTCCATGTGACTAAAGTGCCTCAATCCTTACTTCATCATCCTTTGTGTAGTGTGGCACCAAGAACTATACACAATGCTGTAGCTGAGGTCTAACCAGTGTCTAGTATAGATTCAGCATAACCTCACTGCTCTTGTACTCTGTGCTCCTATTATTGAAGTCATGAATATTGTATGCTTTATTAACACCCCTCTCCACCAGTCATGCCACGTTTAATGATTTATGGATATATATACACTCAGGTTGCTCTGCTCCTGCACAACCTTCAGAATAGTACCCTTTATTTTGTATGGATCACCATGTTGTTTGTACCCAAAATGTGTCACCTGACACTTTTCAGCATTGAATTTCCCATGTCATCTATCTTGTAAAATGGTAAAATAAAAAGCAATATATTGTGGATACTGGAAATCTGAAATTGAAAAAAAGCAATGCTGGAAATCTTTGGCAGGTCTGGCTGAATCTGGAGAGAAGCATGAAGTTAACGTTTTCAGTTGAATGCAACATTATGAAGAGAAGTCATTCATCTTGATGTTAATTCTGTTCTTGCTCCATAGATGCTGTTAGACCTGCTGAGTATTTTGTTTTTAATACAAAACGTTGTACTGATATAATGGCCACAAATTTGATTTTGCTGAAATACAAATGAGATGCACAGCGAGTTGATAATTTAAAACACAGGTGATTCCAATCTTTGCTCAAAACAATATCTTGCTTTGCATAATTAAGTACCCCTTAGACCAAACTGTGGTTCCTTAATATTTTGGCACCATACCATATTTGTGTTTAGAAATGTGTGATAGGACATAGGATTCAGCAGTTTGAATATTTATTCACCATTTGAGTTATTAAATATAGTGCATATTAAGTAATTCATTGAACACTCATCAGAAAGCTATCATAAAAAAATCAGTTGTTTTCATTTACCGTATAATGCTCGAGCAGTTTAACTCTTTTCAGTCAAAGTTTGTGGCTGTTCTTGAAGGCAATTTTAAATTTTAGAAACAATTTCAAAGGCCATACGAAGTAGCACTATTCTGAGAAATGCAAAGAGAATGTTGTATCAGAGCTGTCTCTAATCTTTAATAATATTTTGAGATCAACAGTAAAGCAACATAAGATCGTAAGAAATAGGAATAGGCTGTTGGCTCCTCGAGCCTTCTCCACCTTTCAACAAGGTCATGGCTGATTCAGCATTCCTCATCTCCACTGTCCTGCATTTTCCCCACAACCTTTGATTCCTCAACTGATCAAGAATTTATCTATCTCAGCCATAAATACACGTAAGGATCCTGATCCACAGCTCTGTGGCAAGGAGTGCCAAAGATTTCTCAGCCCTTCGAGAGAAGGGATTCCTCCTCATTTCAGTCTTATATTGGCACCCCTTTACTCTGAGACTATGAGCATGACTGGCTAAAGTTTGCAAATGAATGCATTGAAAGCAGTCAGTGGTGATGGAATTTTTTGATGATAGACTCCGTCATGCTTGCTTTGCTTTCTGCTCCAATCAAGGTCAGTGACACAAATCAGTTGTTAAGCTCTTTACTTGTCCCATTCATTTGTTACTGAGAATTTAGACCGCAAGTAAAAGTGATTTTTATCGTTGAACTCTACAGTTTGATTTTGTGTAGAATTCTGGTTGTCCTGCGTTGGAAGGATATTATTAAATTGGTGAGGGTTCAGAGAAGATTTACCAGGATATTGCTGGAACTGGAGGATTTGAGTTATAAGGAAAGGAATTGGGGAAAAAAGATTTTATCAGCAGATGTGTGGCTTCCACTCATTGATTCTTTCTGGAAAGCTGTAAATCTATATCTGATATGATCTTGTACTTGTTCACTTTATAATTTTTTTTCCATCCCTGATTCATTCATTGAAGGTTTTGACTGCTTTCTTAAATTAGTTTGGATGACGTACAGAAGGAATCACCCAAACAACCATTTGTAGAGTCATACAGCACGGAAAAAGACCCTTCAGTCCAATTCGTCCATGCTGACCAAGTTAAACTAGTCTCACATGCCTGTGTCTGGTCCAAATCCTTCTAAACTTTTCCTATCCATGCATATATCCAAATGTCTTTTAAATGCTATAACTGCACTCATATCTACCACTTCCTCTGGTGGCTCATTCCACATTCATGTGAAAAAGTTGCCTCTCAGGTCCTTTCCAAATCTTTCTCCTCTCACCTTAAAAATATGCCCCCTTGCTTTGAACCACCCCATTCTAGGGAAAAGACTTTTACTGTTCACCTTATCTACTCCCTTCATGATTTTATAGAACTACATTGTCCCCATTTATAAACCTACCTCTATTAGGTTGCCCTCAATTTCCTAAGCTCCAGTGGAAATAAAATCCCCAGTCTCTCCTTATAACTCAAACTCTCCAGTCTCAACAACATCCTGATAAAGCTTTTCTGAACCCTCTCCAATTTAATAATATCTTTAGTAATCTTTAGTATCTTTAATAATATCTAAATAATATATTTAGGGGCAGCACAGTGGCTCAGTGGTTAGCACTGCAGCCTCACAGCGCCAGGAACCCTTGTTCGATTCCAGCCTCGGGTGACTGTCTGTGCGGAGTTTGCACATTCTCCCTGTGTCTGCGTGGGTTTCTTCCGGGTGCTCCGGTTACCTCCCACAGTCCAAAGATGTGCAGGCTAGGTGGATTGGCCATGCTAAATTGCCCATAGTGTTCAGGGGTATGTGGGTTAAAGGGGGATGGGTCTGGGTGGGATGGTCCAAGGGTCGGTGTGGACTTGTTGGGCCGAAGGGCCTGTTTCCACACTGTAGGGATTCTGTGATTCTTCTGTGATTCCTATAGCAGGGCAACCAGAACTGTACACAGTACTCCAAAAGTGCCCTCACCAACATCTTACAAAGTTGCTGGAAAGCTCAGCAGGTGTGGCAGCATCTGTGAAGGAAAAAATAGTTAACATATTGGGTCCGGTGACCCATCCCCAGAACTAAGGGTCACCAGACCCAAAACATTAATATTTTTTTCCTTCAAAGATGCTGCCAGACCT